GGATCAACCTTTAAATAGAAGAATGCTTGGAAAGAATTCTTTGTGTGTGAGTATTGGAGGCATTATATTGTTTCAAAATTAGAGAAAATGATGTTTGAAAAAGCCTCCATTGCCATCCAAATAAACCACAATATTATTATTGAGGCATATCTGCATGGTTTTTATCAACATTATTATGTTATTTTATTTCCCTTTTTTTCATTCTCACTTTATTGTAATTTAACCCAAGTTCCTATAAAGAATACAATATCTATAACGTTTATTATTATTATATAAATTAATTCAAATTTTAAGATTAGCCTTTCAAACAAGAAGCATAGCAAATAATATTGGTCTGCTATTTGAAATTCACAACATGAAAACAATGTGATCTACAGTATTGAAGTTTGTAATGCTCATGGAAAATAGATTTGTATGTGGTTTGCAATCAAGTTCATTCCAGAGCACCCGGAAAGAGCAAAGATTTTAACATAAACTAATTAGGTCTGTTAAATATCACAGAGCATCCATGTACAAGAGTTTCATTAAAATGTGATACTTGAGACAAATTAATATACAAATTAGGTAATTAATAAGCACGGATTTTTACCCAAAACTAATCAGGTTTGTACATTGTTCTAGAGCACCTATATATGAAGTTTGATTGAGAAATCACCCCCCAGGCCACATGCATGCCCATACATCTATGTATATGTATACATAGACGTCTAACTTACATCATGACAATATACAATTATTTTATTATAGTTGAAATATGGTTGGATTAAAATGCAACTCTATATGGGGTTGTGATTCAATTCAAATTTAATAAAAATGCAACAATGTAGTAACAACATTATTCATTTTGCAACATAACAAAGTGTGTTGCTTAGGTTTAGTAAAGAGGTATGTATGGTACAGTTATATTAATATACAGTGTACCATACTTTTCCCCTTTACTAACCTAAAGCTATGCAAACTTAAGTTTAATTTGATTAAGTACTAATATAAATTATGAAAAATAGTGAGGGTTGTAACTCTGTCAAGTTGTCACAACTTGATATATCAGATATTTAATTCCACACACGTATATATTTATGTAGTAACTGTAAAGAATCCAGAGTCAGAAATAGAGGGCAGAGTTTTGTTAAAAGAAAGGTCAGCTTTTAAAAAGAATTAAACATGTTACAATAATTGTTTCTTCTTTTTGCTCGTCTGTCCTAACATTTTAATCTTTGGTGCTAACTGCATGTGAATATGTGCACACCTAATACCGTGTGTCTGGAAGGTAGAGTAGACTGTCCTCTGATATATACTGCTAAGTAAATAGTCGGCTCTAGGAATCAAATACAAATCCTGATACCAGGTGAACTAGCTAACGACTGTACTCCGTACTACACATGTACAAATGATATTACTGCATATGCTCTATTAGAAGCGCATCTTCAATAGAAGTGCATACAAACCCATAATTGCGTTGGCTATAAATTAAATCATTAAAAGATTACTTATTTTGATTATAAAAAAACTCTAATTACATAAGCACATGTTCTACTACACTTCAATGAAAAACTATATTAATACTATGTATGTATATAATAATTCTGTATCAGTTTTTACATTACTGGATAATACTGCAGATTAGTAGTCATGGCAACAACATTCTTTTTATGATAAATTAAAAATTTTGATATCTCAAACAGTATGTCATAATAAAAGCAAAATTACTGTTGACCATATATTTTGTTTTGTTAAGAGCACAATAAAATAGACTATTTTCCCTTCACAGAGAGTAAAAACAGGACAAACAAAGGTGCTATCATCATAATGACATCAAAACATTACATGGAATTCAACAAACATGAAAGTATTTTTTAATATGCTATACACATTTGATGATAGTCACATTTGAAGATAGTCACATTTGATGATAGTCACATTTGATGATAGTCACATTTGATGATAGTAACATTTGAAGATAGTAACATTTGATGATAGTAACATTTGATGATAGTAACATTTGAAGATAGTCACATTTGATGAAGTAAGGATATCTCACTGCAATATTTCCATCTCCAACATTGAACTGTCATGCAATACAAGAGATCTTGCATCGATCAGAAAACCAAATATATACAATGTATACTAAATATCTTGTGTCAATTGATTTTTTTTTGATGAAAATAGCATTTTTATTATAACTGTAACACATTCAATAACTGAAGATAACAACTAACAAAAAGAAAATCAGAAATGACCTTTCCTGACTTTTCTATTATTAGTATATTCTATGTATGAACATTGGCAACTATCACTGATATGCAGTACGATAGATATAACTTTACTTCTCAGAGGAAACAACAAGAATGATATACCGTATTTGCTCTATTAGTAGTGCATGCACTTACGTAAATTACAGTGCTATTCCTATGATCAGAATAAATGAATTTTAATAATTCAGTATACAACAGTATACAGTTTATATGCATTTAATTCTTATATGAGATTCGCTTCTAATAGAGCAAACATGGTAACCCATAACTACCGGGTATATTGAGTCTAGTAAGTTAATAACATTATTTTAGTTATTGGAATCCTTCATATAGTATGATGCCTCATGTACAAAATGTAAATGCAAAATATCTGGATAATAAACAAAAAATATTGATTATTCATACGAATTTGGGACATGATTAAGTGATTGATTATCTGAAGTTAACTTAATCACAAAATCAAAAATCAAAGACTTTGATATTTATTTTATGGCTCAGGTTACTTGGACAGAACAACTTTAATGGTACTTATAATAAAACTAAAATTTGTAAATTCCATTAAAATATAGTAAAATTATAAAATGTCACAAAAAACTTAATACCAATGCACAAAACTATTCAGATTATATATTTACTAGTGGTGTTTATACAGGTGAACCATCTTTTGGTTGACTTGATGATGATGGTTCATTCTTATCTACATGGATTTTCTTGTCCTCAGTCAATTTATATCGGTTGTCATCGGTTACCTCATGTACGGTTCGACATACCAATTTGACATCATTTTTTCAGAGCCCCAAAACTCACTTTCTTTTGCACGAAGTTGTTCCAGAAATGTTTCTACCTAGAAGACAGATTCAACCAATAAGAAGTCAAGGAAAGAATAACCTAGTTCACTTAAAACAAAAGTTTCTGAAATTTAGCTATTTATTCACTGCAATTGGCAATTTGATTGTCAGAAGAGAAAACTTGGGGTGCTCAAACTACCGGTATTATTTGAAACTCAGATGCATGCATTTTAAAATCAAAATGGCTGAGTATAAGTTTCCACTACTCTGTAATATCACTCCAATATGCAGACAAACATAAAAGATAGAGAGCGTATACACATTGTCATCTTTGTAATAACTTAATAAATATATGCAAATATGCAATTAAAATCTTGTTCCTACCAGAAGTATGACTATCGCGCAAATTCTAAAATAATCAGAGTTGAATTTCTTTAGTAATGACTGTGTATGACATTGGTAACTTTTTTGCTCTATAGAAATTAACATAACCAAAATTTGCATATATTGTAGGCAAGACACTGAACATGTTTTAATTTGACAATGACCTTTCATGTCATTTCTATAATAGAACAAATACAGTATTCCAAATGACAAGAACTATACAAAGATTGTTTATTTATACTTCTGCCAGAAAGTATTTATAATTGGTAAACACTCAAAATCAAACTATAAATTATTTAAATGATAATTCTCTTCCAAAAAGAATTATTACAACTGAACTAATTAATGACTTATATGATAATCCAGAGCGTGGACATTATTCTACTTTTTAAAAGCAAATTACCCCCAAAATGTTGACACTTTTGGCATTTTATCACATATCAGCAAAGAGTGCTAGAGACTGAAAGCGCACAAAAAAGTGTATAAGAACTGACACTAGAGGGCGCTGGTCATATAATGTAGCAAGATTACCCCTGCGTTTGCAACATATATAAATTTGGTTGTTCAGGATTACTTCAAAGTTGAGTTTGTGCTGTTTTCTCTAGTGTAGTATAGTATTAAAAAAGGAAACAAATTAATAGATTGATCTATTCAGTTGATTTTTAGCACTTAATTAACTAATTGCAAAATGTCAGCGTAATCTCTGACTGGAAAAAAAAATCTTCTACTGTAGATATATTTATTTTGTCCATGATGCAATTTGTTAGAACAATGCATTAGAAAAAATGTACATGTATCTAGTATTGCCAAAGAGGGCACACTTAAATACCTTGGATGGCGAAAATGCCCAAAATCCATCAACATCATATTTGATAGAAAGTGCAATACAACAACGTACTGGTAAGTTATGTCATGGATGAAACAATTTAATCATGGTCACATGATATACATACTGTCATTGATTGGCTTATACTTACTGTTAAAAACCAATAAGAATCTGGTCTGAACATAAGACGACCAAAGAATCCTATTTTATCGGCTGGTGCTATGACATGCATATGTAGATGATCCACACTGACCAATGGCGGAAGGTGAAATCCGATTCTACAAATATAACAATACATTCAGAATATGAATATTCATGAGCTAGTGAAGACATACATGTAATCTTAAATCAATACTATGATCCCCTGATTGAATATTCATGAATTGACAATGACATCTCAAACTACTGACAATTAATTCAAGCATATTGATTAGTTAGTAATGACCTAAATCAAATCAATGCTATGAATCAGTAAATGTACTAGAACCAGTGATGACACATTTCAAATAAATGCTATTACCTCATGAATATTCATGAGATGGTAGGGACATCTCATACCAAAACCATTAACTCAGGATTATTCATGAGTTGGTAGTGACATCTTGAACCAATATCATTCGAGGCAAGGTATGAACTTACCTTGCATTATCAGGGTCTGCTTCATTCTTCACAAGGGTTGCCTTAGCAACATCTATCATGTTCTCAACTATAAAGAAAGACACATCACATTATTACAGTTTCTACATCACAGTTTTCTTAAACATAAGCAGAATATCAGTACTTATCGAACATTCCTATGGTACAAATTGAGATTTCACTAGAGAGGTTATCAAAGCAGGGAATGAACACAGGGTGACAGTGATCATTTTCAATCAATTATAACTTTTGGGACACTTTTTAACTTTTTTTGATCATACCAAACTTAATTAATCAATTGATTTTAATTTATTCAGTCAATTTTAATCAGTTAAGAGTTCAACTTTTTTATGTATTCACTGACTATCTATACTGAACAATTGGATGTGATAAAGAACTGGCATTTGACAACAACAACATGAACCCAATCATTTCACTTGAATTGGTGTTATGTAAATTATGTAGAAAATAATAAAAAAAAAATTTCACCTTAGATGATTATAATTAAATCAACATTACAGAACAGAGTTTAGACTTTACTATGTTATCATAAAATTTCACAAGTCTAATTTAATTATCACTGTCAACAATTTACATATTCATGCTCATGAATATTCAACAGGAGAAAGTCACAATGCAGAGGGCACCAGTCAGGATTTATTTATTATGCTAATAACAGTGCTCATGAATATTTAACAGGAGCAGGTCATAATGCTGAGGGCACCAGTCAGGATTTATTTATTATGCTAACAACAGTGCTCATGAATATTCAACAGAACAGGTCACAAAGCTGAGGGCACCAGTCAGGATATAATTATTATGCAGAGGGCACCTGTCAGGATTTATTTATTATGCTAATAACAGTGCTCATGAATATTCAACAGGAACAGGTCATAATGCAGAGGGCACCAGTCAGGATTTATTTATTATGCTAATAACAGTGCTCATGAATATTCAACAGGAACAGGTCATAATGCAGAGGGCACCAGTCAGGATTTATTTATTATGCTAATAACAGTGCTCATGAATATTCAACAGGAGAAAGTCACAAAGCTGAGGGCACCAGTCAGGATTTATTTATTATGCTAATAACAGTGCTCATGAATATTCAACAGGAGCAGGTCACAAAGCTGAGGGCACCACCATATAACAAATTCACTTCAAATTTATTTTTTAAATGATAGACACAAGTCATGTGACTTACTCATTGGTATATCATCATAGGATAGTTGCTTCAAGTTTTTGATGTGCTTCTTTGTCACAACGAGATAATGTTCTTTGGCTGATGGTCTGATATCACGGAATACAACATATTTACTATCCTATCAAGAGATAACAAACAAACAAACTATCATATGATTGTTTAAGTAAACAGCTTTTATTTGACAGGTGACAAATTTGCCGCCAATTTCATCAGTGAAATATTTATACAGTGTCTTCCTGCATGCCATATAATCATCAAAATGTAAGACTTACTAGCAGAGAAAATCAATTTACAGTAAATGTTTTAATTATTCTCTAGTTCCTAATTTTGCTATTTTTGCTGATAAGTAAAGTTCGTAAAATGAAATCAACATGAATAAGTAAAATAACATTAGAACTCAAAGTTTCGCTGCCGAATTCATGAAATAAATAGCCCACTGAAATTGATCAAAATAGCAAAATTGAATGCCAGTAAAAATAAAAAGTATCTCCTATAGGCAACAATAATGATTTATCGATGATACAGAGATGTATCCAGAATTTTGCTATTTAGTTCAGATAAGTGATTTATTGGGCTTCAAGTTTTTGAATGAATACTGTAGAAATTTTCAAATTGTCATGCACTCTTATTGATCTATCATGAATAATAATTCTCTCAATATTTCTAACATTTCATCATTTAGTTATTTGTATATCTCCATTGTTTACCCTGATTACACAAAAATTGTGTAAATTCATCGAACATTAAAAACAATAAAATTTACCATTCTGTAAGATGGTATCTCAATGTGTTTGAGTTGTAGTGTTCACGCTACGCGAAATACAGGCTAAGATTTGAACTAATCACTTCAAGTTCAAGTGCAGATTGCAGAACATCAGGAAGTAGAACAGAGTCTCATCGTATTCACACATTGATTTTCATGTCGGAAATGAATAGTTATAAAATAATAGTAAATCATCCAAATGAACATTGAATACAATGGTGTTTTGGCAGGCCAGATTTAATCCATACTTTCGAATTTCTTAGCCTGTGCTTAGCATTAAGGCATGTTTTTAAACACTGGCTAAGATAATTTAGTGTGAATGCTACTAATGTTTTCTTTTTGTGCAATATGTTTATACTTTTCTATGTTTACACCACAAGCAGAAGTGATATAGCATGTGATTAAAAAAATAATTATTAAAATACAATAGAAATATTACAGTATTCTTGTGATAACTCATAACATTATGTAGTTGTTTGTAACTTATTTTGTGAATTATAAATTCACAGGTGAAGCAACTGAACCTGACGTGGATAAGAAAACATACACCAACTTCTAGAGTTTAGCAAGTGTTGTGCGGTATACACCCATATACTATTCTATGAAAGGACACCTCCATCATGTGCACCACCAATGCAAATTAAACACAAAACGATACAATGTACATTTTTCTGAGATGTCGAATTGTTAGAGTTACGAACATCGAGTTACGAACATCGAGTTACAGTAATTTCAATTTATTAATTCATGGTATGTAATCACAATTTAGATTTTAGCTGCGGTGGCGACATTTAGTTATCAACAATAGGATTCCGAAATGAACGACGAAAATCAAAATCCTATTTTCAATTTGGAGTGTTTCATTTTATTGAATCGCTAGGGAGCTTTTTCGTCTATTTGCACATTTTCAGTCGATGGCGAACCCAACAACGCGCATGCTACAATTTTACCAGTCAACTCTGTTTTGAGGCCTACTTTTCAACATTCATATTGATAGACACATGCTTGTTTCGTACGTGACGTCATTATATTCTAGAACTAAGCCACGCTAACCGATTCGTGGTCTTGCTAAATTGAATGACGATCAAGTATATGAGTTTTGTTGTCAAACAGGGGACTTCTCACGACGGGATGCCGGTTAGCCGCTCAATATCCGAGCATAGAGGAATTACTGAAAGAAAGCGTGCGACGATTCTGTAATCATCGTGGTGTACACCTTCTAATAAGTGGATCGCATTGTAAATGAAGCTGTATGTGAACAAAATTACGGGACTAAAACATTGCACGATACATTGGATACATTGTTGATTCCACTTGCCTTTTATCGTTGGACCGCGACAGTACCCCCCCAGCGCGTCAATGAAATGAAAAGCCTCAAATTAAAAATAGCATTTTGATTTTCATTGTTCATTTCAAAATCTTATTTTCTAAAAGGCGATGTTGCCACCACAAGTGCAACTTTGAAAACTACAGCTAAACTTTAAATTGTGATTTCTTGCCGCCAATTCATCAGTTGAAATTACGCCAAAAACCAAAATGTCACGGTTAGATTCCAGAAAATATTAGAAATTCACTTGGTCATCATTAGCCATGGACCACGTTGCCGTAACCCGAAGTTATGATAACTGTTAATTAAAATTTGAGTTATTGAATATGGACATTAAACAACAACAACAACAACAGATTTTATGTTGTCCGTAACTCGAACTTCGGTTAACTGTTAATTAAATTTTCAGTTAATAACTCAAAGTTTGAATAACTGTTGATAACTCGAATTACAAAATTTGAAACTTGAACAAAACAACAAATACATGTTGCCCGTAACTCGAAGTTCAGTTAACTGTTATTTGAACTTCAAGTTACTGAATGTGGACGTTCAACAAAAACCAAAATATATGTTGCCCGTAACTCAAAGTTCTGTTAACTGTTTATTGAACATCGAGTTATAATTTGGGCGTGGTTTCAAAAATATGGGCGTGGTCATTTCTGTAACTCGATGTCCGTAACTTGAACAATTCGACATCTCCATTTTTCTAACCCCCCCAAACGCCTTGCCCCTAATTTTCTGTTAACATTATTACAACTAAAACGCTCTTTGAATTGTATTCCAATTATGTCCTTTTTAAAATAAATAGAGGTACAAATGCACATATGACGACATCGTCACCAAACCCGGAACCGATTTCAACGAATGACAACACACTCGTGATAGGGAGCTGTCTACAATGTACGATGACCTTACCTTGTATAATATGTCGGCTCTTAAATCATTCCTGAAAGCGATATTACAAAATACGCATGATTCAACGAGCTTATCGTGCGCTTTCTGCTTTCTTTCTCGCTCTTCTATCTGTTCAGGAGTTTTAACAATCCACGATGTGTCTCCCATAATGGCCAACAAAAACTTTCAGTGAAAACTCCAGTGCGAAAGCAGGAAGTGATAACAGGGAATTCCAGACCGCCTAGCTTACCAAAAAAAGTGTCAGTATTTTAAATTTTAACGAGAGGGCGACGTAACTTACCATCTTGAATACGGACAGAACTGGGACAGAACTACGAGGGTGAAATGTCAGTGATGGTATTCTCGTTGAGATCATGCCCATTTAAGACGACAACATTCCCAAATTGGGGTCGGAGAATAGGGAATAGGGATCGACGTATATATGGCGCTATATATATATACTAGTATTCTGCATTCGTCCCCAAATTCAAACCTGAAAGATATTGTATTAAATCGCGGTTTCAATGATTTATTTGAATTCCTAGTGATGTACATGTCAATTGTTTCGAATCTGTTTCAAACGCTATTATACCATATTACCTGGTATATCTGGATTGCAGGCTAACACCCATCACATTTGTCATCACTGCGGGATCTTCAACATGGTCATTGTCGCACATATTGCAGACTCCTTCTTTAAAATCCAATCCTGTATGCCGGCCTGTTTCAATTTTCAGACAGTGGTTGCTAAATCTGAATTTTGTTAAGGATTTGCTAAGTTCACAACAATGTGTACTGACGACAAAAAACATTTTCAACCCCAGTTGCGTTATTTTGATTGCCCGAATCAAACGTCTTTATGAATAATTAATCACATGACGTAATACTCAGTGCACACGTTGCAGGTCTAATATACTTGTAAGTAAGAATATACATCCACAAACAAGGACGTTAAAAAGTGTATAAGGAATAAATAAAACCTATTACGGTTAAAGGACAGTGGTCGTCGCACTGCGCATGTGCGACATTTGTGTTGATAAACTTTGATTTTCCCACAATCGAATGCGCAATTATAATGTAAAACACAAGTATGAGGTCTAACCTGGGTGCGACTTGCACTGATTACTACCGCCGATGACTTCTTCAATACCTTCCAATCACCTAAAAAAATACCTAATTAAAATTTAATAACGTCCCAGTTTGCACATTTTTGTTTATATGACCATATATATGACCATATATAAAACAACAATTAGATCCTTTTTAAACTAATAAAAGCTACTAAAAATGTCAACATTATTATGGACAGAAATGAACCTTGTTGAGGAATCCCGGATGTAAATACACACCAGTCCAATACATGTCCATTCACTGTGACCTTTGACCCCTTGCAAAAATGATATCCACCATGAAAGCAGATAATTAATTAATTCCATAATATAACAGTTTATGAAATATAACGCACGATTAACTAATTCAAAAGCCTAAGTATTTATGGAGTTGATTTAGGTGATTCTAAATTTATGAAAAATAAATCAGTCACACACATATACTACTTCACATTCAGACAGATATTAATGTATTATTAAAAGTACGCAAACTATTTATAATATGATACATGTGTTATTAATACATTTTGTTAGCAGTCAACATATTCATTGTACTATTTTCCTCCGAATCTCCGGCTATGAAACAGTTTTTTTTTCATGTCCAAGAAAAATCTCATACAGAAGCGAATGCCGATCTGACAGGAAGACGGAATCCCTATTTGTGACGTCATGGGTGGGAACTCCCTTCATTGCATTGTGGGTAAATAGTGTATCTGCTGCCATCTTGCGAGAATATGCTATGGGATGGTGAGTTGAATTGTTCACAAGTCGTGTGCCCTTTAGTCAATACTCTATATTGATTATATCAGTAGTAAAACGTGATGTTTTCGAGGAAAAAGGACGATGGGCGTGATGCCAAGGGAAAAGCAAAACAGGTTAGTGACACATAGTTTTCTGGACTTCCTGGTTCAGTTCTTGTGATTTACACTCATAGACATTACAGTTGGGTTTTATATTATCTCATAATCTAACGAGTGTAGAGGCCAACCAACGTTGCTAAAACTACGGCAAATAATGTTAGCAAAATATTTCCCTCTTACCCTAACGTAAACTGTAACCCTCCAGCCCCAAATTAAATTTCATATGCCCCTACAGGCTACATGTACACATGTATCCTCAAGAAGTTTGGGGTGGGGGTGGAGTAAGGATAAGGGGTTGGAGTCACAATGGAAAGTCTTTCCGAGATTTATTAAATTACTATTATCTTTTAGATTATACCAGCATTTCAATTGCCTAAATACATTGTTCTTATTGGACGAGAGCTATTTTAATAAATTTGGGGTTAAATACACAATTAATGTACCAGGATTTTTGGTGTTTAGAATGAGGCCCCTAAACGTCAATATTATTTGATTTACGGACATAGTGCATAATAAAGAACATTGCAATCCTCAGGTAATTGGGGTTTGAACGAGAAGCTTGAGAAAATCGATCCCAGAAAAAAATTATTGCCATCTGCAGTTGCTCACTCGTGAACCCGAAAGTTTTGTCCATCCTCACATTGCAATAGTGTGTATAGTGCGTTGGCACTTTTAGTCCAAGCCCAAAAACGTGTGCACGTGTTCATGCGTTTGTGGGTACATGTGTCCGCACTTATATCTTAGACATGCCTAACATTCAAACTACACACATACATCTTGCTATTGAAAAAAATGTATATGGACAGAGGAATATTAATAGTAAAGAAAAACGTTTATACAGTTGCTTTATAGACTTTAAAAAAGCATTTGATTGCTTATGGAGTGATGCCTTATTCCTTAAATTACAAAAATATATTATAAATATCAAAATTACAAAGTTAAATTGCAAAATGGGCTAACAAAAGGATTCAATACAACAAGGGGAGTGAAACAAGGTTGTAATATTTTGCCAACCTTGTTTAATATTTTTTTAAATGATCGGCACGGATCTAGAAGCCGTACCTACACACGAATTGGTGACGTCACAAAATACATGACCTTCAATCGGGGTCGTTTCCTCGGTATATACAAATTGGTTTATACAAATTACAATAAAGATACTTAAGACATTACACATAAGGTAAAACAAATCATGTAACAATATAATGATAATAACGGTAATAAATCCTAGCTTAACAGTTGAACAGAACGATCATATAGTCAGTCGGGTGACGCCGAGGGTCACGCACTGTGTTGCAAAATGGCCGTGTGGTTGAAACTGGGTCATGGCGTTACGGGTGAGGAAGA